CGTAACAGTTTTTGGTTTTGTACCAAATACTTGATCATCCTCTATGTCGGCACGTGGTTTTACAGTCAGAGCATCTGCTATTTTATCAGATAATAACTTTTGCGGTGTTTTTTTCTGTTTTGGCTTCATTGTAGTATAATATTTTCTATTAATTGTAACCTACAAAACCTCGAATACTTTCACGTGTTTATGACAGCATAAATTCGACAAACGAATGACATTGACAACACATACATACACAACAGCACAGCTGAACGACACTATGACAGTACAGTGATGTTTTACAAATATCGTAAAGAAACTAATTCGCCTAACTTTTTTTATAGTAAAATAGTTATTTACAGGTAGATACGACTTAAAATATAACTAACTAAAAACTAAAATATTTACAACTTACAAAAGTAATAATAATAAAAATGCTATCTTATATTTGCCTAAATGTAACTAACTTTAAAAACTAAACTGATACAATTCTTTTCACGATCATGATTTTAATGCTGCGCGTTAAATTAAATTATTTGATATTAACAAAATATTTATTAATACCACTTTGATTATCTCTTAAAGTAGTTTATTCACAAAAATATTAATAAGTATGTGATTTGTTGCTTGCTTATAATACTACTTTGCCTTGACGATTCGCTTCATTTAGAATTTTCGTAACAAAACGAAACGTGTCTGACAATTGCTTGAAATATTGACAAATTGACATTTCGGCTAGCTGGCGCGAAAATTATTTACAGTTTGCGACTTTGCGAGGCAACATTCAACGATATTTTTGTTGATAACAGTTGGTGTTTTAAAAGTAAACACTCGTTAAAAACCTTAAAATGCCTAGAAAAAGAGTGATGCCGAAAACTGTGACTTGGTTGAGTGATGAAATACATGAACCACAAAGTTTAACGCCTACATTTCATCATTACGAGTAAGTTAACCTGTAAATACTTCAAAACATTATATTTTTCGTATTCAAACTACAATGTCCATAATTTTTGCCCAGGAAATTTCAATTTGAGAATATTATTGGAGAAATTGGCGATTATGTGCTAATTTCGAATGCTGACGCTGCTGAACCAGACACAGAAGCCGGTTGTGATGCAGCACGCATTCTATCTTTGTATGAAGACCGCAGTAACACCACCGATCCGTTTAGAGCTAAAGTTCAATGGTACTCGAGGCCTACTGACCTACCTAATTGGTGTTTTAGTAACATGGAACCAATCAGCTTTCATGAAAAAGAGGTAAGCATCTCATAGTGTGATTACTAAACTTAATTAAACTGTCAAACACCAAGCGGTCACCGGTGACCGCTACCTATTGTTCTATAATTGTGTCTATAATGACGGTACTCAACGAGTTAATTAATGACATGTCTTCTGATGGTATTGAGTTAACTATATTATAATGTACCTAGTTATCTGAGAATTAGTTCAAGATCTTTTGAAATTTCACTGTTTTTATCATTTTCGCTATTTCCAGGTGATAGAAGACCATAGACCCTTCAATCAGGATGTATCAATAGAAACTTTCTTCAAGAAATGCACCATAACCCTCACATTTACAAAAGATATAGATGACACTATCAAGGAACCCTACCATTACATATGTAGATACAGACTCATGAACATGAGTAGAAGGAAAGTACAAATTGAACCGGTCCTAGAACAGGAGAGGAGAGCCTTGGCCTTATTAAGTACACCAAGTAAAACTCCCTCTAAAACAGTAACACCAAAAACACCAACCAGTTTGGTCAAAAAAATGAGCAGAGTATCCATCTCAGAGAAGAACTGGAGTGTCACTAAAAATGATGGCACAAAATTACTCCTCAAAAGAGCTATTCTAGCTGATAAAAATGAAAAGGATTCACCAAAAAAAGTCACACCAAAAGCAACACCAACAAAGAAGGTCACAGCAACACCAAAAAGTTCTAAAAAGTTAACTAACAGTAACATAGAGGATGTGTTATCTATGGAATTAAAAGAAAATTCTGATGATGAGATTCCAACATTGATTATAAGGCAGCATGTACCGACTACACCAAAACGAAAGCAGTCTATTTCTAAAGTAGCCAATGAGGAGACTCCTAAAAAGATTTTAGTGTTTGAAGATGAAGAGATGAGTACTCCTACTAGATCAAGCAGGGCAAAGGCTAATGTGAATTATCAGGAGCCTGAAGAGTCTCCCAGGAAAAGAACACCTAGAAAGATAATTCGTAAGACATCTGAGAGTGATGATGACTTTAGACCAGCTCCTCGGACTCCCAGAACACCAAAAACTCCAAGGACACCGAGAACTAGGACTCCAGCACAAACTCCTAAGCGCAGTGTTACTAAAAGAATTTTGACTAGTCAACTAACACCAACTTTGCATAACAGAGCACATTCTATAGACAATATTGATGGTAAGAATAAGAACTGTTAATACCTTTCTACAGTACTGCTACATATTCTAGAATCTATAATAACTTCAAAAGTCTATTTATTTATTTATCATTGTCTAAAATTAATAATAACTATTACTAAATTAAATATATACAATACAAGATAAAAATTAATATATACAACTTAAAATATAAAAGAAAATAATTTAAAACTAAAATATTTACACCTTAAAAAAATAATAACTTGATTTTATACATTTACAGAGTTTCTTAAACAAAACAAGTCTTTACCAGGCAGAGAGGGACAAATGGAAGAAATATTGTCATTTGTTAGAACAAAACTGCTAGATGGGACTAGTGGGTAAGTGTTGTTTGGTACAAAATGTTTATACTTGAGAAATGAAAAACGGGAAATAAGATTATTCATATTCTTACCTAGCCAGCCTAACATATGAATAGCCCCATCTATTGTATTTATCATTTTATTTGGCTCATCACAAAAGATATATCATTGCAATTTAAACAAAATCACAAACTAAACTAAACTTTCTATATTCATGCCATTTTCAGCTGTATGTACATATCAGGAGTGCCAGGTACAGGGAAGACTGCAACAGTGTGCTCAGCTCTGAAATACTTGAAAGAGGAAGTGGATCTACCAGACTTCCAGCTGGTGGAAGTGAATGGCATGAGGATAGCAGAACCTAGACAGGCTTATGTGCAGATATACAAACAACTTACTGGTGAGATTCACTTAGACATTCATAACTGTGATATGATATATTGTATGTACATGAATAATATCCTGGTCCTCAATAACTAAAGTCTTACTCTGTGTTTTTACAAAGTTGTAATTGTCATGTTGAATTTCCAGGTAAATCTGTTGTATGGGAGCAAGCTTGCTCACTATTAGAAAAGAGGTTTACTAATCCAGGTCCTAGGAGAACACCAACTGTGCTGCTAGTTGATGAGGTAAACAAAAATAGATTAATTTCTGCTAAGAAAAAGAAAATTGAACAGTAGTTAAAAACTAATTTTCTCCCAGTGATCCTAGTTTCATGGTCTGATTATTTGTATTCTTAACCACATATAAAAAAAATCATCATCATGCATCTAATAAAATATATCTGTAACTTTCAGCTCGACGCTCTATGCACTCGGCGTCAAGACGTGTTGTACAGTATAATGGAGTGGGCAGCACACAACACTGCCCTGCTGACAGTACTGGCCGTTGCCAACACGATGGACTTGCCCGAACGAGCACTGGCAGCCCGTGTGGCCTCCCGCCTCGGTCTCACGCGCCTTACCTTTCCGCCCTACACACATACACAGCTGCAGAACATCGTGGCCACGAGGCTCTCTGGTGCTAATGTCACTGCAGATGCTGTACAACTTATAGCTAGGTATGTTAAAAAAAATTACAGCAACTCTTTGTTATGACCCACAAATTTCTGTTCTAAGATTGGCTTTAATCCTTACTATAATATTATAAATCGGAAAGTGAGTTTGTTTGTTTGTTCCGCTTTCACGCCGTAACTACTAAACCGATTGATTTGAATTTTTGCAGACGTAAAGTTATAAGTCCGGATTAAATAATAGGGTATTTTTTATCAAGGAAAATTTGATATTCCCGAGGTAAAACAAAAGTATTGATATAGATGGTGCTGTGTGTATTGGTATAAGTCACATAGGTTACTTTTTATCCTTTTGTGACGCGAGCGAAGCTGCGGGTAAAAGCTAGTGAGCAATAAATGCAATTAGTGCTTAGTAACACAACCAAGGCACAGAAGAAAATACTACTATAACTTACTAATACAGCTATTATAGGAGAGCTACATTTTTATGTTTTAAGTCCAGAAGCATCCTATTCTAGTTTTGATTTCACAAATTTTATTTCATAGAAAAGTAGCAGCAGTGTCAGGTGATGCTCGGCGTGCGCTTGCCTTGTGTTCCCGTGCGTTAGAACTGGCTGGTCCAGACGGCGCTGGACTGAAGGAGGTGCAACAAGCTCTAGGAGAAGCTGCCTCCAGTGCTGCTGTGAGAGCCATAAGAAACTGTTCACCTGCTGAAAGACTCATGTTGAGAGCGGTTGCTGCAGAGGTAAAATTTTAAAATTATCAATGCTGAGGTTGTGATACTTGTGAACAAAAAATTTAGATATGTTGGATTTGTCTGTTTCCCTCAATGACACAAGCATAAAACACTCATTTACATTATTATATAATATTAATACTTATGTATTTGTTTCATACACAGGTGGAAAGAACAGGCTCAGATGAAACAACATTATCCCGCGCGCTTCAAACAGCAGCTGCAATAGTGGCCCTCGACGGTCGACCTTACAAAACAGCGCCCTCTATCCGTGCTCCCACGCCGTCGCAAGCACAGGCAATATGCACCAGACTGGCTGCACTACGACTGTTGTTACTAGAACCGAAACCAGCTGAACCACGACTATTGTTGAATATTAGCGCCGATGATGTGCATTATGCGACTAAGCAAATTATTGTTTGACGAAATAGACTTTGTTTTTTGAGGAATATCCACATGTATGAGTGTCAATTTGTTTTCTACATAACTAGCCTTTGTCTACGCATGTTATGTATTTATTAAACTTAGATACTGCTACTACTACTACTAAATAAATCTCTAACTCAAAAGTACAAAATGAGCTAAACTCGATATAAACTTGTAAAGTAAAAAAAAAATATTTTTTAAGTACACTTTTAATGCAATTCTTGACATTGATCTGTTATTTGAAATGACTGATAGAGTAAGTTTAATTTATTGTGATAAATCAAATAAACTGTTGCAATACATATAGAATTATGTTATCAATGAGTCCCCAACTTGTATGATCTTGATTAGCGCCTCGATATTGTTGGCCTGCACTGCCTTTCGACTTGCTGCCACAACTGCCTTGCTGTATTTGCCAACTGAAAATATAAAACCATTATGTCTCTTCAATCTTCACTTATATTGTGATCAGTTATGTCACGAGTACACAGAAATGCGGGTAAACCTTTAGCCATTCATATTACATGCTACTATGTATTGAGAAAATGGGGTTGATGACAGGGTATGAAAATTAAACAATTGGGTAATTAAAAAATATTAGACACGTATTTTTTTATTTTGTATATAGATAAAACGAACGAAAGTTTCTTAGTGTACTGAGAAGTGACGTCACGCGACATTTCAAATCAATATAATTATATCATCGAAACTGTTTGTTTCCGTAAGAAAAAAAATACGTGTCTAATGTTTTTAAATAATCTTTACCAGATAGACATTAAAATAAAAATTAGTCGTCCACCCTATTCTCGAAAATCCAAAAAAATTCTGTAGTTCTCTGACAGCACCAAGAATCAATTCTTGGTCTTTTGGTCTATTGCACGTGTGACTGAGTATTTTTTTTATATGTTATCCCTTACCTCTAAGTCTTACAGCTTGTTGCAGAATAGTATGCAAACTCTTCAGCGAAGTAACTGCTTGCTCCTGAGTAGAGCGTCTAATGTAGCATCCCGTGAGAAGCTCCTCGTTCAGCATTACAACTTCCTTGTACCGGTTCAACATCTCTCTCCTAAAAATATATATTTTTTTTATGTGTTGCGCCACGTTTACTGATTTTATATGTAATCAATCGTTAATTATTAAATAATAACTTATAATTAATAAGTTGAAAGTGAGTCATTTACCAATATTACCAAACAAGAATAGATTTAAGTATAAAATTCTTACAAATCATAGGCTGCAGCATCCTGAGCCGCTGGTAACAAAGCAGTGATAAGTTGAGCACGCTCTGCAGTTTCAGCAGCTAACCGCGATCTCATTTCACCTATTTGTGATACATGTTCCATTTCTTCACGAAGTCTTTTTTCGGCTTCGGGAAATTGTGCTACTGACTGAAAGTTATAAAAATAAGACTTTTTTAATAATCCCGCCATTGCTTGTCTATGATACTGTGACGGATACCACGAATTTAGTAGATTTTCGTATTGACACCTCTATGGTTTAATCAGAAATGGCGCCGCGTCAGTTAGCTGCCGGCGTGGGGGAGTTGTCAAAGTTATTGAACTGTTGAAACCGGGTGTTGGAAAATAACTCGTGAAAAACAAACAAAAATGGTTGAAAACAACGAAATCGAACTATCAGAAGCAGAGGCAGAACAATACGACCGTCAAATCCGCTTATGGGGTTTGGAATCTCAAAAAAGGCTACGTGCATCGAAAGTTTTGATCATCGGGATAGCGGGTCTTGGTGCTGAAATTGCGAAGAATGTTATTCTATCCGGTGTTAAAAGTGTGTGTTTGTTAGACAACGAGAAATTGAAAGAAATTGATCTGTATTCGCAGTTTTTAGCACCACCGGACAAAATCGGTGAGAATAGAGCAGAAGCATCGCTAACGAGAGCGAGGGCTTTGAACCCAATGGTAGAGATTACATCGGAGACTAAGTCTGTTGATGATCTCCCTGACAGTTACTTCGCGGAGTATGATATTGTTTGCGCTACGGGCTTGAAGCAAGAACAACTCGAGCGTATAAACAATGCTTGCCGCGACAGCAACAAGAAATTCCTATGTGGTGATGTGTGGGGCATGTATGGGTACATGTTTGCTGACCTCGTCGACCATGAGTACTCTGAAGAAATTGTTCAACACAAAGCTGTGAAACGTAATGTAGATGAAACTGAGAAGAATGCTCGGGAAACTGTCAGTATTACTGTAAAACGGAGAGCAATTTATGTCCCACTACAAAATGCGTTGTCTGTGGACTGGATGAAGCCAGAATACCGTTCTAGACTTCGCCGAGGGGACCCGTCGTACTTTGTAATGAAAATTCTGCTGCGATTTAAAGATGAGTATAACAGAAACCCAGACCCAGCTAAGAGGAAAGAGGATACTAAGATTCTGTTACGTATGAGAGACGAGCTTGTGAAGGAACTATCTCTTCCAGCTAATTTTATAGTGGATGCATTACTTCTGGATGTGTTTGGCACAGTATCTGGAGCCGCTGCTGTCATTGGTGGTGTCATCGGCCAAGAAGTTGTAAAGGCAGTGAGCCAGAGAGAACCTCCACACAATAACATGTTCTTCTTCAACCCAGTCAAATGTGTAGGTTTTGTTGAACTTTATGGTCAATGAATTAATTATTCAATATAGAATGTAAGCAGAGTCGATTAAGTTTAATAAATTATTTAAGTACATGTTTTGTGTTTTGATTTACCATTGGTTTGTTTGTGTAAATGATAACTATTTAAACTGTCAAACACCAAGCGGTCACCGGTGACTGCAACCTATTGTTCTATAATTGTGTCTATAATGACGGTACTCGACGAGTTAATCAGGATGGATATTGTAAAGGGTTTATTAAAATTAAAGTAAATACTGATACCTGCAAGTCAGTCAAATTCAAATAGACAGCTAAACTTTGTATCAGATCTCCAGCCAATCTTATGTCATGGGTGCTAAACTTCACTTGGCCATCAGCTGCAAAATCCATGTACAAGTAAGACTGGTCTCTCAAGCACAGAAGATTTATATGAAGCTCCTTTGTTTCTTCTGACTCAATGTTCAATTCTTCTTCCAATAAAAAGTTCTGATTCACCCAGATACATATTCTCTGCACTCTTTCTGTGATGCGAAATGTTACATAGCTGTTCCCTTTATTTCTCACTTCTTTGGTGAACGACTGATACATCGCGAATCTCGGGAGTTGTTTCGTCAACTCGAAGATGTGGAATTGTTCACTGTCAGGATAGCCTATAAGAGCCTAAATATATTGGAATAGTAATAAGTAAGTTAGTTTAGTAATAAGGTACAACTAATAAAAAACGCTTGCGTAAGTACCTTAATGTGGACATCAACCGGTACGTCACGCGGTGGTCTTAACGGCACATGCAGCAAAGACCTCAGTTGACTAGGCTGAGGGTGTCGAATGAAGGTCTCCCCACTTTCAAAAATACCTTCCGCAAGGACAAGGGCTGCGCGAACTACTGTCTCATTGTTAGTTGATACTGCGAGTTGAAGGCAAGCCTAAAACACACGTAAGGTGGCATACCGCATATGTAAGAACCTACGAACAACACTCATTTATTTGGTGGATAATTCATACGACGTTAGATCCCGGATTGTGATAGTTACCTCCTCGGGTGAATGCAGGATAGCCACTTGCAGCCTCGTATTAGTAGGCATAGCTGAAGCAGGTCGTTCCAGATTCTCAACGCTCGCACTACCACTGGTTGCGTTAGCTTCGTAGTGCTGTAGTTCTACCATGAGCGCCTGCTTCTTGTTGAATAGCTCTGTAATGGCTAACCGATCCTCATCTGAAGGCATGCTCTTGGTGCCCGTGTTGAATCCAGTGTTTTCTTGGTAAGGCGGATACCCTAATACTGTTGAAAAAATTTGTAAAAGTACCCACCGGACCTACATCCGTATATCATAGCAAATATTCAACACACACACCTATCGCATTAAAAAGTCATCCTACCTTCGCCTTTATCAGACACACAGACAAGATCTGGAGCACCAACAGATCGGTAGTCAGCCAGTAACATTGCAGCTGCATTAGCACGCATCTGAACTCGCCGTAACACTCGTCCAGTGGTGCCCTCACGCCAATCTACACGCCCGTTCGACCAGCAACAAGCTAAGGTGTCTCCTGACCATTGGAGAGCCAACGCATTCTGTTTCGACTGCAAGAAATATTTTAGGGTAGATAAGTTTTTAATAAGTGGCCATCTTGAATTCTATATTTCTTAAGCCTAACTATTTTCATCGATACCTTAACCCTCCACAGTCGAATGCCCTCTTCATAAATGCCAATAGTACCATTAGCTAGTCCATATGCGAACCTGACTTCGTTCACTGGACACAGGCACAATATGGGCCCAGTTTCAGCGATTTCGGCTATAAATTGATTGTTCTTTAAAACCCTAATAAATGAATCATCGCATCCTATGAGAAGCTGTAAAGAACAAATTGGATCTTTATAATAGATCTCAGTCATTAGGACACATAGGTCATAATACATCGACTTTTTCTAAACCTACCTCATTTTCCCCATCTTTATCAAAATCGAAAGTGATCATTGCACATACTTTGCCGCTGACAACATTCCAAAAGACCTCATTGCCTTCCCAGTCAATGGCCTGTACAGAACTGTTGCCGCCGATTATCGCCAAAGTCTCCGCATGTTTGCCGAAGAACCCAGTTATAATCACATTGACTCCATCTGGTGCCTCTTTAAAAAAGAGATCCGTATTGTCGTGCACATCGTATGCTGCAAGTGAATATTGTTATGCTCTGCTTTCTGCACAAGAATTTCAGCATTAATACTAAGATGACATTGAAAATAATTTCTCACCTAGTATCTGTGTAGGTGACCCAATGAGCAGCATATCCCTACCAGTGTCAGGGCGCAGAGGTCCAGCTGCAAGGGCAATTACAGCCTGACTGAGATTCAGTTCAGAGACTTCTCCATGAGCTTGCGATCTCTGCGCTCTTCCACTGACCATACCTCCATGGGGATGATGGATAATGATCTGCGGTTTAAGACATTACTATTTAGCGCTGATTATAAAGTTATTTGTAATTATTTTATGAAGTTTATTTCTTGAAGATTACTTATGGAGGAAACATTAACTTTATCGTATCCAGCAGACGCAGTGAGACACGGGTGCGTTCCATCATACTTTGCGATCGTCACCACATCTGGAGTAATTTTATGGTTTAACTCCAGCTTAAATACTGGCTGAACTGTTGATAGCTGCATTTTATTACCGAAAGTGTTTTGTTTTGGTTAAGTCCCCTATTTTTAAATGTATTGTTTGTAAAACTCGTTTCCATGACAATACATAGACAATAAACATAAAAATATTAAAGTAGTTGAAGAAGTATAGAATTTGAACGCGACCATAACTTGAAAACGTCAAACTGACATGATTCACTGTCATTTAAAACTGTAATGTCAAGTCGTCAATTTATTTTTATGGCATTTTGTTTTACGCATTTAGAGAAATAACATGCTTACTTAAAAATTGTGCCGATAACACTATCTTAAATTAACGCGGAAGTGGTATGTGCTAAAAGAATTAGTACCAGTGACCAAATGGGTAGTGAATTGAATCTTGAATCTACGGAATCCAGGTATTTAGTTAATTTAAGTTATTATTTTGTTTTTCGTGTATTTTCGGCATTTTATTATTGCGCAATTGCTATATAATTTTCGTATCAACCTTGCTTGTGCTTCGGCTTAAACTATTTTTAGTGTCATGTTGTAGAAGTTGATATTTTTGTAGGTTTTCATCAGTGAGTTCTTGATGTCGCTATCGTCTGTTATGCCAAGATTTCACATTCCGTGTAGTTCTATATGGACCCACTATCTCATGCCGTTCATTTATCATGTCATTATTGGCTTCTTAAGGTAATTTTTTCACTAGATTTTAACATGTGTTATTTTATTTATTGCACTGCAGTATTCATTACAGACTCCCAATCACAAATTTAACTATAGTTTATTAGTATTTATATATAGTATGTTTTAGATATCTATTAAATACCACACAGACCACATTCCATACAAAAATACCATAATCAGTTATCAGATGTAAAATTTGTAATTCATTGAGGTAATTAACCCATAAATCCCCAAGCGGTCACCGGTGACCGCTTTCCACTAATATTACATTACATTATAGACCTTATTTCTAATGTTTAGAGAATACTTTTGTATGACCAAATTTAGGGGATGGATATCAACGGGTTAAAACTAATATCAATATTACACTATATTTATAAACTATTGATTCAATAATCAAAACTTGAGTAATAATTACTTCCTTATTGTGGTATTTCTTTATTGTATTGATATCCTAAATGAAATAATATTTTACCTTGATTAACATGTTTTATTCTACATTAACATTGTTAAAAGTGTTATATTCAAAGTCTTAGAAAGTTATTTATTTAAACTTAAATTGAATGGTACATAAAGTGATATAAACACCACATAATAGCATTCTTGACTAAGTAGTGAGAAGGTTAAGAAGAATTAGGAGAAGGTTAGTAATCATAGCTTGTCTTTGTTTTATTTATTATTATTACAAAACCAGATATAAGTTTTGGATATTACAATGTATTGCATCAACCAATAAATATTATCTCACACTATGATATGGTAAAAAAATATCCGAGTCACCATGAATCATGAGTTTTTAAAGAAACTTGTAAAAATATATAAAGTTGTAGACTAACGTTAATATTACCTTATTCTTCTAATAAAACCACATACAACATACTTACAAATTAATTAATTTACCTACATAATAAAATAATATATATGTTTCATCAAATAATTTATACAAAACAAATTAACAAAATATTCAATTTCATAAAAATTATTTTTATTTACAGTTCACATCATAATTTCCATTGTCAACATTTTTTTTCTACAACTTACCATACAAACAATAACAGACTGTATACATAATAACATAAACATTGCCTGAGTATAAAAAAATCAATCTGTCATAACATCATTATGTTGGTATTATTTCAGAGTATAAAGTATTCAGCCAGCACCAATGGTTTTCGACAATAAGCAAGTTTTTTAATATTAACTGTGTTATTTTGTGTGGTATTTTTTTTGCTGAGTTTTTAAGAGAAACTATACAATGGGTTAATATTGATTAATACAGATACATTTAAAAATATACAGTTATTTTCAATGCTTTACTGGTTGATTTTTGTTTAGAATTATAGTATTTGAGTGAATCATGTATGTCAGTACTTTATAAAACCAAATTTTGCAAAATATTTCCGATAGTTAAATTTGAAATGATAAATTGCATGTATGTAATGTAAACATTGTCTATTTATATTTTCATACAATATTTTTACTGACTTTAAAAACATTGAAATGGCAATGACATAAAAACTTCAAATTACACTCGAGATAGATTGCCAGACAAATTGTGCAAAGTCATGATGATATCTACAATGATGCAATACTGTTTAAAATTCTCTTAATAACTGGTCTGTTAGCTAAAGGATAAATAAACCTTAGTCATGGACATGAATTAAAAAAAAACTGTTAACATTTTAATACAGGCCTGCATGATTTATCATATAAAAAAAATATTAAAAAAAAAACAAACTTTGGTACTATATTACATTGGTAAATAGACCAGGTACCAGACTATTTGTAGTCAAAATAAATTCTATGCTATTGTCCATTTAATTGATAGTCAAATAATGTATCTGTGGACACAATATTGTCATTGTGTAGGGAAGTAGTTTGTATTTTTGTATGTGTGTGTTTGTGTACCAGACAACTTGAATGCATAGATGACCCACATGTACTGCAATCTATCATGACTCAAGAGTATTTCATTTAACTGATAACATTATTTAATCACTATTTTAACTAGAACATTTAACAATATGATTCATATACCATAACGTTTTATTTTTTTATTACCAGGCATGATTTTAGCTATTTAATCTGTTATTCTAGAGTTTGCATCATTAACAACCTCTTTGGAGGCTTGTGGTTTATATTTTTGATTAAATGTCGATGGTTTGTTTTCTTTTTAAATTTCAGTACAGTTAGCAGGACATGGATTGGAACTGTTATATCCATTATATGGAAGTAAGATGTATTTCCAGTTGATGTTCACAATTTTAGTTTTAAACGCTTTATTTAATTTATTTTGGGCTATTTTTCGATATTTCTTTATATTAATTTTATATTGCTAATCACGGGGTAGCATTACTGACAGAATAATAATTATTATTCTATCATTCAGTGTCATATAATTAATTATAATTATTCACGAAATAATATTTAATAATACTGAGTCCTAGATGATGTTTTTATTCCTTTGACAGTGTTCAAAACAAATAGTTTTATGTCCAAATACTCAAACGCCTCTTAATTTTAAGTCGCGCTTAATTAGTACAGAGATGGCACGATATTTAAATTCAGCTTAAAAGGAGATCATTCTTTCGGGCCTTTTCTGAAAATGTGATGCGACCATGTTTTTTCGTTGGATTTCAGAAAAGGCGATCGTATATCCGAAATGTCTCCTTAAATAGCCTTTCAGTACCTACTTTTATTCAGGAAGTCTTGGATAGTTTCAGATTTTATCGCAAAAAGTGGCCTTGCTCTTTAAGCCACTCTTGTTTATTAGATATATATATGCCTAAACGATAGAACATTTATTTTAATCCTATTTATCTTACTACATTCTTTAACTAAAGTTCGCGGCGTATTAAATCACATACATTCTTTAAAAAAAAACATCTCATAGAAAATGAATAAGATTTCATCATACTTTTTCATAAAAAAATATCATAAAGTATACAAAATTCTTATATGTCGGCTACAGATGAATTTTATTCTAATTCTAGGACTAATAATAGTCGGTGTCGTGACTGGGCATATAACTTGTATTAGTAAACTATATGCCGTGACTCACCAATTACTATAACCGCCTTGGCCTTGGTCAGCAACTAGATTTGACCTTCGTTACTTTGACCGGTCACTAATAAACAAAGGGAATTATATAACTAGTGGAATATATGACTTTTAATTTACTCCCAGTAGGTAGAACTTACATAAAATCTACTAAACTATTAGGGTCCTTAGCAAATACAGATTATAGATTTTGTGCTGCTGTTGATAGTTTCATCATAACATAACATCCACGCCTGTCATACCCGAAGCGGTTGGCAAAGGTGCACATTACGGCACTTAATGCCACTGTACAATGTAACACCCACTTTTCACTATTTATGTTATGAGTCCTATGTAATAGGGGGTGAGCATATTGCCATATACCGGAGACAATTCCAGTCTCCGTGCTAACTGAGAATTTTTATTTTTAAAAATTTAGTTTTCCTTACCCGACCCGGGATACCCTGTAATATTTGCGATCCCGAGACTCCTTGCCCGGCAGTCACACTTGCGACCATTCGGCCAACGAGGCAGTTGATAGTTTCAAATCTCTAAAAATGTAATGTGAGCTAGGTCGCACTGAATTATCGACAAAGTTTGCGGTAGTTAGTACTTACACTTTATAAAAAACATCACACTCGCTAGTGCTAGTCACTACCGCCCTGTGGTAAAAAAGATGGTGGTTAACTAGAAGAAGTTACTGCGGCTTCTTTGTGTCCCCTAATTTATTGTAGTTCATGTTATGTTTGCTTCAAAGAAAATTAGGCAGGTACCAATACTTATTAAGAATGTTTTGTAGTTATCACATGTCTTGAGTGTCTACCTATCTACTTCTAACACATTTCTTGCTTAGTCATGCTCTGCTAATGAATCCTCTTTTGTTATGATCCTTAATTATCTTCTTAATACGGAAACACAACTAAAAATATTTATTTATAACAATTATGTACGCAAATAACAACTTTATTTCGTTGCTCTAAGTATGTTTTTTATAAATCAAGGTTTGTCGGAATTGGCCTTTTAGATATTACATACTATTTAATTGTTTGTAAATAAATAAACAAATACAACTAATTTATGTATACCTAATAATACACAAATATTATAATTAACCTACTTTTGTAACTAATTTAAATTTTTCTTTGCATTTTTTAATTATTTTTATTTACATTTATTGTGTGTATCATGTGTGTGAACCTTTAGAAATACAGTGTATTGTTTATTGAGCTAACTAATAATTGTAGTTATTTGTATCGACAGATATATCGATTTTTTAAATTTAATTATCTCTTAATGTCTAACAAAGACTTTGTTTATTAAGTATTTTTAAAAGATAATTTGGAGTAATGTTTAATTAACAATTAATTATAGTTGGCTCAAGAAACAATCACCCTTCACCTAGATTTGAAAATGTTAATAACAATATTGTTTTTAATGTATCTTTTGTTTTGTTATGTTACAGTTGGACCGGAGGGTGGTTCAGCTGGACTCGCCAGTCAGATGCGATGCTACGAAATGTTGAGAAAAAAATATTATCATGTAAGATATTGACTATTTTATTTTTTTATTTATTGTCATTTTTTGTGCTCCAGTAGGCAGGTTTTGTATATTTAGGTACTTATTAGATTGATTTACCAGTTGTTTACAAATACATAAGTAGCACTTATATTCCTTCTTTATTAATGCCTGTACATCGAGGAAAAATCAGCAATTTGAATAATTAATAAGTTGAACCTATGTTTTTAATGGTATAGGTATGTGTGGTATGGTATTAGTGACTGATTTTGGCCCTGGCAAGAAAAGTAGTCACTCGATTGATAAAAAAATGCTTTACTACAATAAAAAAAATGAGCAGACGGTCTATAACACAAATGTTATTAATGGGCAAGCAATTATTGTCAACTCCCGTCCCCTTACATAACATACTGGCGGAACAAAGTCATTATGGCACGGTAATGTCTCTATAATTGTAGAGGGGGAGTTAAAACACGCATGGAGCAAGAGTTGAGTACCTAGTGCGAGTTAGTTTTAAGACTTTTTAGTTAATGCAATTGTCGCGTTTTTGACGTTCGTCGCTCTGATTGGCTCTCACCAATATACCGGCCAATCAGAGAACTAATCGCGGTAATATTGCATTAACGTAAAAAAAACTCACACAGTCACACTAGGCCCTGTTGTGTTTTATGTAAGTAAGCTATCCTCGTCGGATAAATACAGTACGTAGATATAAATATGACCGATACGACCTACAAACTTGCAAGAAAAAAGCGTTTTTACCTGTAACTCTGGTTATGATATCATCAATTGCAATAAAGTTTGTTGAAAATGTATTTAAAATATTCGCAAATCGGGATATCTTTATGTGCTAGTGTTTAAGACGCTTTTTGAGGGCAGAAAATCATCCAATGACTTGTCCCGCCTGGGTGAGGCGAGAGGGAGTGTCCTGTCCTTCGAGCCGGAGCCCCGGCAACCCGTTAAGCCTTCCGCGGCTCATCGTGAGGAAACCTGGGCTATAATTTCTAATTCTAAGTTTGAAATCGCCAACCCGCATTGATCAAACCTTCTCCTTGTGGAAAGAGGCCTTTGGTCAATAGTGGCCACTAATAGAATAGGCTCATGATGTGCTAGTGTTTATATAGTTTGTACCCATAATATATTATCTCGATAAAACTAAGTACATTAGGATAATAGATTAAAGTTGAACGTACTTCATGCGTGTTTAAAATGTCCTATCTACAATCTACTGATTATAGTTGTTGAACAATTCAAGTATTGTTAGGTCTGAGCTGAATAATGGCTCGCTGGTTGGTTACTATCTACGTATATAGACGTCAGTCGGTTTATCTATTAGAGGTCCTAGACAGAGAAGTTTTTAACGTTGCCCCTCACTTGGGTTTTATTCTTGCATTTATCTACAAATATTTTCGCTTATTTCGCACACGCATCTGCCATCATATCCAGACCTAAAAATTCGTTTTTGGATCGATTACAGTCCTAGACGTTTGAAACGAAAACCTAACGGTCGCGGAGAACCTAACGGGTTACCGGGGCTCCGGCTCGACGTGCGGGAGAAGGAACGGAGTGGTTTTTAGTCAGTAAAATTCTGACACTCCCTCCCGTCTCACCCAGGCCGGAGTCATTCGATGATTTTCCCCCATTAAAAAAAGACGTTTAAAACCTTGATAAAGATTATTCAATAAAACGAAAAATATGGATATCTAACTGGTACTTGAAAAGCTTCCCATTAAATAACGCAAAAAAATACAAGTAAATGCTTAAGATAAAGAAAATCTTTGAATTTATAACAGGCCCAATTCGTTGTAACGCTCAATCAATATGAACCTTAATAGCATTGAAATAACGTCGAAGGTGAAAAGCTCTAGTCCCAACAGTTATCGGTTAATTATTTTCCGGGATGTAGCTCTCGAGATAAAGGTCGGTGCACACTGATAACGATCAAGTAGGTACGCAGTTATCAGTGATGCGTGGCACATTCTAGACTCTATACAATAACTAAACTTTTAATTCAAGTAGTATCTTGGACTTTGCGATGATTGAAGCGGAATTTTTTTATTTAATTTATATCACATTTGACGATCTCTGTCTAGTCCTCTGGACGACAAACGTTATATATGTTTGAAAGTTCTCTAGAACACGACGTACATACGAGTTTTCCTATCAAAGATAATTGATGCGGATGTCAAACCGCTTTCTCCGTGAAGTTTAAAGTGGTTTTCACCTTATAACGGGTATAATTACAGCTAATAACTATTAAATAGCATGTCTGGTTTATTAAAAACTATATAAATGACGTTGAATTAGTTTGGACCAGGACATCTACTATAATAGTAAAATTTTTATGACATTTGCTACCTAGGTGATTCATAGGTGATAAATCAAACACCCGTCCTCCGCACTGACCCCTGACGGATCCGCATAAGTTCAATATCCAATATTATTGTAATATTATCAATTTTCCTACTATAAATTAGTTGATAAGATTGTCGTTATCAATATATGCGTGCATACTGCGACCTTACTAGGGTGGCAGACGATTATGAAGCAAATCCTGTAATACTTATTCACCTTCGCAATTCATCGAAGATAAATTTTATGTCAGCTGGTTTTTTACTACTTTGTCGAAGTGTAAAACATGAACCACGATCAAGACGCCTATGTGTCTTTAGTTTAATTGTAATAATATGTCTTATGTCTTAGCAACAACATACAGAGACTAGAATGTGTACTGATGTAATATAATAATGACATGTATGCTTATCGTAGTCTAGATTTCTTTGTATTTTCTACCTTTAAAATGAATACTAATAAGGTTTTTAATAAAATTATTTGAGCACTCATTGATCAAGATGTAGTTCTTTATTTTTGTAATGTCCTTCATTGGCTCTTTTTAAATACTCTTATTATTTTATTCCAGGTTTGAAAACAGCGTACAAACGTTTCTACGTGGACATAGGAAGTGTTGTGGGCCAAAGCGACAAAATATGGACTATATCACTGAACGAGGAGTCTCCCAAGACTCCGCTAGTATTGCTGCACGGGATGGGCGCAGGTCTAGCGCTGTGGTGCCCTAACCTAGACTCCTTCGCAGCCACGAGGCCAGTGTACGCCATCGATTTACTAGGTAAATAACCTTATTTGTTTATTTGTGATTATTTTTAGTTGCCACGTGTAATAATATTGTTTGGTAAGATTGAATTCGTGCCAGTTTTATTTGTGGCCATCGTGTAATATTTGTTGTTGTTGTCGATGTCTATTGTATTTTTACATAGACTTCAAAAAGGTCCAAGAATCTACAAAAAAGGTAATGTTTTGAGATGTTGCTAAAATTTTCCTAATGGTGATTAATTTCAGTTGAAAAATCTTGCTATTTTAAAATTTTCAAATATTTCTCTAAAATGTTGCTAAAGCAATGCCTAGGTACACCTATTATCTTTTTTGTTTAATGATGTCCAATATCTATGTTATTTATAAACCATCTGCAGAAATGTATTCTTTTTTTCATACATGTATTCTTATTCTACAGGTTTTGGTCGAAGTTCCCGACCTAAGTTCGCGTGCGATGCCCAGAAGGCCGAAGCACAATGGGTCGAGTCTGTGGAGGAGTGGCGGCGTGAGGTCAACCTCGGACAGTTCATACTGCTGGGACACAGTCTCGGAGGTTACATCGCTACGGCATACGCTATTAAGTACCCAGAGAGGTGAGTTACAATAAATTGAATGGTTCTAATTACTATTAGTAAAGAAAATCACTACATAGTATAAAACAAAGTCAATCTCCGCCCTCTGTCTGTCCCTATGTATGCTTAGATCTTTAAAACTACGCTACGGATTTTGATGCGGTTTCTTTTAATAGATAGAGTAATTTTTAAGGAAGGTTTATAATATGTATAATACATGCATATTGCACCCGTGTGAAGCCGGCGCGGGTCGCTAGTTTAATTTATAAATGTCACTTTACTTGATGTTCTGATGATTTAACACATTTTTTTATTCAAATTATAATAACGTGCATATTATTCATAAGTTAGGTACTTTAAACAAGACTTATGCATCGTATTTCAAAAGCGAATATATTTATTATATTATTACGTGTATTAAAAGTAACCGACTTTTCACCAGCAACTGTAGCCAAATGCCATTTAGCGTTTGTCTACATGTAGAATAGAAAACCAAATTATTTGGAATTGACGTAAATTTTGATACTTGTCATTTTCATCACCATACATTTTGATTTCTACTCTATAGTAGACAAGCGCTAAAGTGGCGTTTGGCTAAAGGCACAGCTAAGAAATAGAGACTGATGTAATAAACAACCAATTTCCTAAATAGGGTAGATGCCTAATTTTTTTTAATGTCCGTCTGGTAAATTATTTTAAATCATTAGACACGTATATTTTATTTTCTTACAGAAACGAATACTTTCGACGATATATTGATTTGAAATGTCGCGTGACGTCACTTCTATGTACATTTTATACGTAGAATTGACGTTCTAGCCCCCACTCTTAAATTTTTATTCGTTTTATCTAAGTATTGTTTTATTATACGAACAAATAAAAAAATACGTGTCTAATATTTTTCATTACCTAACTTACGGACTAATTAGATTGTTAATTTTCATACCCCGTCATCATCCCTATTGCAGAGTTCGTCACTTAGTGCTAGCTGATCCTTGGGGCTTCGCTGAGCGTCCACAGAATGCGTACGAGAAGGCACAGCTACCTCTCTGGGTCAGAGCCATCGCCACTGCAGTACAACCACTTAACCCTCTCTGGGCAGTCAGGGCGGCGGGCCCAGCCGGCAAGTGGCTGGTCAGTAAGACCCGTCCTGATATTTCGAGGAAGTACCTCAACTATGTACCCGACGCCGAGAGGGTTATACCTGAATATATCTACCAGTGTAACTCACAAACGCCTAGGTAAGTAACGAAACGCCTGTTGTTATTTTTATTAGAGAAATGATCTATCATCGTCCACATATAACACTATATTATCATTACCTTATTAGGCTTATTTATATTAGTAAGCTACGCCTCATTTTAAACTTTAATGTATAATCTGTATTCTCTTCACAGTGGTGAAAGTGCCTTCCATACTCTGATGACTGGATTCGGTTGGGCGAAGAACCCGATGGTCCGTCGAGTGGACGAGCTGGACCCGGCCCTGCCCATCACAGTACTGTACGGGTCCCGGTCCTGGGTCGACAACAGCAGTGGACAGGTGCTAGTCGAGCACCGCGGACCTAGCAATACTTTTGTACAGGTAATGAGAACAACTGTTGTGATAGTAAAAGTAATTTTTTCATAACATAACATCACGCCTTTTATCCCCGAAGGGGTAGGCAGAAGTACACATTATGCCACTGTACAATGTAACACCCACTTTTCACTATTTATGTTGTGAGTCCCATGTAATAGGGGGCGAGCCTATTGCCATATACCGTGCACAATTCCAGACTCCGTGCTACTACTCAGAATTTAAAAGAAAATCCAGTAATTCTTTGCCCGACCCGGGAATCGAACCCAAGACCCCTACTCGGCAGTCGCACTTGCGACCACTCGGCCAACGAGGCAGTTAAAAGTAATTTTATATACGATAATGAGCTCATTGTATCAGGCACAGTTTCAGATACCAATTCTAACTTAAAATTATCGAATTTTCTACTTACTCTTTTGATTCAGCAATCCCAAGTGGATCTGGGCAGTTCTGGTGTAATAATATTTTTGTGTTATTTTTGACTTATCTTGTCATAAAATATAAAAAAATATATAAATACTGAAGTTTCTACTTTCTCTTCGAAGGTAATCAATGGCGCCGGTCACCATGTGTACCTAGACAAACCTGAACTTTTCAACAAGTTTGTATTAGACGCGTGCACGCGTGCAGACGAGCATGATCCTAGGCCCGCGCTCAAGGCTGTCCCCGCGGAGCCCGGGACAGAGACCCCGGCGCTGCCACCGGGGGGCGAAGCACCCTCGACCACAGTCGCCGCCACCAACAAGGCGACCGCCTCATCTGACGCAGCGCCCACATCTTGATGATAAACAAATCCTAGTTATATTACAATTGTTACGCACATTCGATTATGTATAGTTGCGATACGTTAATGTTGTACTGTTTTATGAGTTGAGCATGTGTTCATTATGGGTACTCAATGGAGGCTCGTAAGGTGTCCAACTAGTTCAGTAATTTGCGTGGTGCGCCACAATAACTGTTGGCCACTGCTAGGTTTGTCTGTCCCTTATGTTTCCATTGATTACCGCACCGTATTAAAACGAGAATAGTTAATATTGTTCTGTTTTAAGAGATCTACGAGTGTTTTCCATTTAGTCGATTTTTCTACAATCGACTAAAATCGTCCATATTTGTCACGTTTGTGGTAACACTAGAATAGGCCTAAATACGGCCGATTGTCGTCAGCTTGGACGACGTAGTAATTTACGAATTAAAGTATTAGAAGTAATTGAATCTTAAAGAACCTTTCTAAGAGTACTAATACGCTTCTTTCAGACCAATTAAAACATATACACAAACTACTTACAAAATAGATAGATGAAAGCTAATTAAACAAATCTATTTATTTGACGGCATGATCACTTAAAATATTTGTGAGAATTGCCTTCAATTTGTTTTATGTATATTGTAGTACAGGTTACGGGTAAAAACTATGATTTTGTTCAAGTTTGACTGTAATTAAATGTTTTAATTATGTTTGGAAATATCTATATTTTACTGTTAGTCAACAGAGTTTACGACACGACCAATATCCTAGTTTAATTGTAAGTATTGATGCTGTCAATCTGGTACTACGAATTTTCAACGCCAATTCCTATTAGTGTAAAATTACCTCTTCAAAAAATTGATTTTACTTAGCTAGTATTAAATTTTCCTCTAAACTCTTTCCTAAATATAAGTAATTCTCTGTCCTCTTATGTTCGGCATTGCCTCTTGTAAGAAGTTTTTATACATAGCTTTGAGTAGCTACCGAGTACCTGCTTCCACCAGATAAGGGATCACAAAATATGAGACTTTCTATTGTATAGTTTTGTTAGACCGTGTGAAATGTTGTGTGACGGCTCAAAATTATCAATTTGGCTCATTGCTAGTATTTTTGTCAAAGTGACCTTAACATTAGATATCGTTTTACTAAAAGAGGCCCCTACTTTGCTGGGTACATATTTGAAACACGTGACTGCCAAAATTCATGAAAATATTTTTTGTACATTATTTTGAGTATTATGCTTTATATTGGAAGGTGCATCGAATAAATCGGAATTATGTGAAGCTGTACGTAACATTTTGCGAAGATGTTTGTCTTGCAAGCACAACGGTGTTGTTTGACTATGTCTAGATTATTGCAAGTTCGTTGAGTATTGTTGTTTAGCCACAGGCTTTTTGATACACGGAATGAATTATTATGTAAATAAAGATAATTTATTGAAAACGTATTTTTATTTATATTTACACCAAGTTGAAAATATTGAAATATCTCAGAAACAAGAGATCCTAGCAAAAAATAACGATATTTTCAAGCCGCTTACCGCTTGAGGAGGTTTCCTCAAGGACATATTTTCTAATTGAGGCATAGTGAGGGAATGAACTTGGCAGGCCAAGTTCATTTCCACATTCCAGCAAAATTTTACAAATGAGCCCATACCAGGGAATGGGCCCATTTGTAAAATGTTAATTTTTCAGGAATGGGGTAGGTGTTACCTACTTATCTCTGGTGTGACCTTAGCACAACCAGACGTAAAGTTGAGGGTTCCGTTTGAAAAAAAAAACTGATGGACAATCAATACAAAACTTGTCGAAGTACAACTAGCCAAAGAGACAAGTATAGGGGTAGGTAGGCTAATAGAGAACTAACCGTTGATAAGAGACCCTAAAAATATTTAGCTATTTTGATAACGAGGGCGGGCTTTAAACTCTAAACACGAGTTTGTAAAAAAGGTAAAGGTTTCGTTCGTTCATATTCTTATCACTATAAAGAAATAAAACCAAAGTGAATGTAAAAATATATGGTTTATATTTAAACAGATTACAAAATGGAACGAAATTAACAATGAAATCAACACAAACATGATATTTCAGATCAACACAGTCGCAGGTGGGTGTGGGACACTATCGTCACCTTTCCTTCATCTTGTAGGTCACGCAGCGCTTCATCCAACTGCTCTCGAGATACAGTCTGAAAAAAAATGGTTATATTATTCACTGATAGTCTATTAATACAACACACACATTGCATTAAAGTGGCATTTTTGGTAAAAAGAAGACGTTATGCAAAATTGAACCTTACTCTATAGACTTGAAGGTTGCTTTTGGACAAAGCTTGTATACAAAACAAAACATTCGAAATCCAACAGAGTCTTCGCAGAATACCAATGCGAAGAGGTAGATCGCATGTAAAGTTTCACTGCCACAAGTCACTTTTGAAAGTTAAAATACTTTAAGCGTAATAAAAACGGTCCAATAAACTAAGTTCAACTTACAACTTGTGAATTAGCGTTGATTTCCTGCAGTAACTTGGAGTGTGTGATAGTGTGTGGCTTGGAGTACGGCTGAATGAGTTGTTTGAGTGCCGTCACTAACTCTGCGCGACGTCTGCGCGCCGCCGCGCCCAGCCCTGTCGTCAGGATACCCACGTCGATACGACCTGACGCCGGGTCCGTCGCCGACTGTTTGAGGGCTTCACGATGCAGTCTGCAAGAAAGGATTAATTTTAGATTTGACGATAGCACATATTATTGCAAGTGCAACTTGGTAAGATATAATAATGCTCTATTACACGGGGCTCATACACTTTTATATACATTTAATATGTGGACTTTTTTATTTTTATTTGTATGTATATGTTTAATCCTTCAGGTATTAAAAGGCGTAAATGTATAAGATTTAGAAAGTTATTTTTTAATCTTTGATAGCAAGATTAATGTTTAATCGAAGCGTTTTCCTACACCTCTTAAGTCAAGTGAATCGATTTTGTACCCCTGAAAATATATAAGTAAAAATAATAACCTGGTAGCTTCATCAACATCCAATATCTCGACGACGGGAGACAGTCGCAGCCTCGCGTGTGCCTCAGCGAGTCGGATGAGAGACTCCAACTGCCGCGGGTAAGCAGAGATCTGACCACGACCACTGCCCACACGTCTGAGAAAACACGATACACGTTATAACTTCCCTATGACTTCACCGATTACAAAAATATTTTACAAAAGGTTGTAAAAGTAAAAATGCTCCATACGAGACCAATGCGTCGAAACTTTGACACTTCGTTATTTATCAATCTGCCCCATCTACACAACCTCAATACTTAAATTGCTAACCCGCAATGCGCTTGTAACTTAAGGCGTTGCCGATTCATTAGCATAAACAGCAAAGTCCTCTTTCTATATGGAGAACTTTGAGCCAATTGCATACCATCAATCAGGTCATGTGTGTGCTGGTTACCGCCCTATGCGCCATAAAGAGAATAGTGTTATTATTGTTACCTCATATCAACGTAGGCGTCAATGAGCCTCTGTTGAGCAGTCTCACTGAGTGTGGGCTGCACGTGTTCCTTCGCGAACGCTATATAGTCACGCATCAACGACATCTCCTGCAATAAACATCAATATTACATGAGTAATTGTAGCTTTACGTCAGATTAAGCTATTATAATTTAGTTATTTAAACTTTATTGCACACTGACTACTTCCGCGCGGTTTCACACGCTCTGCTCAGCTCCTATGGATGGACTACGGATGGCTATAGAGTCAATGGTATTTGCTGCATCGATAAATGCGCTATCCAACACAAAAATAATTATTAAAATCAGACTTGTAGTTCCGAAGTTTAGCGCGATCAAACAAACAAACAAACTCTTCCGCTTTATATAATAGTATAAGATACACTGTAAAATCGGCAGACTAAATGCCGTGTAGAATGTTAAAGCGGTAGGTGCAAAATTATTGTAAAGAAATCATGAAGAGGATATACCAGAAGGTAATAAATATTAAAGAGGTAAGACATAATTGTTATTATCAATAATATATAATTATCAAATAGAAGTTTTATTTGTCAGTAAAAAAGCTTTATAAAGAAGCACACAGATTTTAGCAGTTTGACAATTGGCTGGTGCAAGTGTTCAGCGGTCTTGATACTTACAATATTATCGTCCCCTTCCTGCGAGTTGGTGAAGTCTTTGTAGTAGAGCGAGACAAGATGTGAGGCGAGACGTCGGTCGAATACCTCGTCTTGAGGGTCCAATACCAGGAATATTAAGTCAAATCTAAAGGAAAAATCATTAGCATCAATGATTAATTAGGTTCTTTTTTCAAATTAAAATTACATTAAATAAGAAATATAAAGAAAACATTTCTTGCCCTATTAACCTTGTATTTTTTGTCATCAATGTTCCATGGACTATTGCGGAACCAGTTCAAGAATAGTATCAGCGAAAAAAAGTCCAGACCAGACTAAACACCACTACACAAAGAAAATCATAGTACCGTGACCATCAATAAGGCTTTGACTGCTAATAGAAAAACTGATGAAGACAAATGTTCCACTAACGTCGGTCACCGATGAGCCCCATGGCGTTAATGTGTTAACTCACCTGGACATAAGTGTATGAGGCAGTTGTACATTCTCGACAATAGTTTTGTTTTTGTTCCACTGCGACTCTGCAGGGTTGGCGGCGGCCAGGATCGACGTGCGGGCGTTCAACTGACAGATGATACCTGCCTTCGCGATTGAAAGCGTTTGTTGTTCCATTACCTAAAGAATAAAGAAATAGATGATAAGAATATTAAGAATATATATATGAAGTACTACCTGACCCGGCACACTTTGTACCGCCTAAATATTTTACCCCCTTTTAAACCTTCCTTGGAATTCCACGAACATTTTAAGACCAAATTTAGCCTAATTGGTTCAGCTGTTCTCGAGTTTTAGTGAGACTAACGAACAGAAAATCATTTTAATTTATATAGACACAATATCGTGGTGGCCCAGAGGTTTAAGACGCCCGCTTCTCAAGCATGAGGGTGCGGGTTCAAAACCTACCAGTGGCAAGTATCAATGTGACTTTTTCCGAGTTATAGCAGTGGCCATTTATAGGCTGTTGATGATGAAGTAAAGAAACTTTACGATTACTTACTTCGTGCAACACACTGCGTGTAGAATCATTCATCTTGTCGAACTCATCGATGCAGCAAATACCATTGTCTGCCAGCACTAGCGCACCACTGTAAACGAAAATAATTGCGATTTATCATTAGGGCGAAATTAAATTATATTAGGGTAACCCCAACTTAACCCGTCGCGCTCGCTGCCATTGCAGCGGTAAGTCCCCTCTTTGAGGGAGTGGCTTGAGAGACGCTACGGCGTCCTCACTTACCGCCTGATGCAGGTCCTCACCGGACATGGGAGTTTCGGGAGATACTTGTGTCTGATGGGGTGGGAGGAAACGCCCGGGTGTCAGCACTGCGAGGACCGCTCTGAGGGTGAGGCCCAACAGGGCTGATGCTGATTCGGAGTTGCGGAGACCTTTAATGGGTTACCGGGGCTCCGGCTCGAAGCGCAGAAGCAACGGGGTGGTTTTTAGTCAGTAAGAGTCTGACACTCCTCCTCCTCACCCAGACGGGAGCAGTCATTCGATGATTTTCCCCCCTTAAAAAAAAAAACCCGGCGTGTCTAAACGTGGATCCACGCGAGACACAATGTATTTTCTATTGTGTCTCATATACGGGCAATCAAGCGGTTAAACTCATTTTAGAATTAGTAACTAGTTTACCGCACACGGTTTCACTCGCGTCGTATATAAACCCTTATAATTTATGCACCGTACAAAAACTGTCTGGGACATTTACTTTATCGCGTTGATAGAGAGACATATAGACAAATGCGAAAAGGGTTTTCTTTTTAAAGTATAACTATTAGGGCAGTAGAGTACTAACGTCTGCAACACCAGCTGTCGTGTATCAGGATCCTTGGTGACGTATGCAGTGAGACCGACGGCGGAGGAGCCTCGCCCCGACGTGTACTGAGCGCGCGGGACCAGCCCGTGGACCCAACGCAGGAGCTGAGACTTACTTGTTCCTGGGTCCCCGCATAGCAGGATGTTTATCTCAGATCTGAGGATAGATAAAGAAATTGTATGAGATAAAAGAACACTTCGCATATACATTGTTTTGCAAATCAATACATAGTATAAAACAAAGTCGCTTTCGCTGTATGTCCGTATGTATGCTTAGATCTTTAAAACTACGCAACGGATTTTGATGCGGTTCTTTTTTAATAGATAGAGTGATTCTTAAGGAAGGTTTGTATGTATATACATATTGCACCCGTGCGAAGCCGGGGCTGGTCGATAGTAAAACAATAAAATAGATCAACTTGTTTAAGGAATGAATCAGTTATCACAAAGCAGCGGGCAAAGCTTTATTTAAGATCTTTGTTATAATTTCATAGAAATAATGGATGGTCCCTTATGTAAGTCTTTACATAAGGTACTAGTACAGGCTCAACATAGGACTGACAACATGATGGTAAACCAAA